ATCTTTCATATATATATATATATATATATATATATATATATATATATATATATATATATATATATATATATATATATATATATATATGACAACAATATTCTATGCACGACCGTATCGTAGACCATCGAAATGTGCAAAATCTGTTATGGCAGTGGGAAATAAATGAAGCCGTGATGCCTGCTCGGCACGGATAACGTTGCAGATTTGTATTTGGATTTTGTTGAGAAGCTCTAGCTGCATTCACACACTAGGCCAGATGTGGGAACAATATTTAATGGACGAACTCATCGTAGACTATGGAAATATCCAAGCTCGCTTACGGCGGTGAGAAAGTCATTGAAGCTGTGATGCCTGTTCAGGATGGATAACATTGGAGATTTTGAATTTGATTTTTTTTTTCGAGAAGTTCCAGATACATAAAAACACAAGACCAGATGCGCCAATAATATTCAATGCAAGAAGGCGTCGTAGGCTATAGAAATATACAGGCTATCTTAGAACAGTGGGAAAATGATTGAAGCCGTCATGCCTACTCAAGATGGATAACATTGCAGATTTTTATTTGTATTTTGTTAAGAATTTCTAGATACATAAAAGCACTAGGCCAGATGTGGAAACAAGATTCATTGCATGAACATATCGTAGCCAAGAGAATGCTGCAAGCTATGTTTCGGCAGTAGCAAGATAATTGGAGCCATGATGCCTGCTCAGGACGGATAACATTGCTGGTTTTGATTTGGATTTGTTCAACAAGCTCTAGATACATAAAAACATCAGACCAAATTTAGAAACAATATTAAACGCACGAACACATCGTAGACCATAGAATGATGCAAGATATATTCGTGGAATATTCTCCAGCAACTTTCCTAACAGTAGCCTTCGCAATTGAAACTATATAATCGTTCTAATTCATGACAATGAAAAACGTTATACCGCTGCACTATTTTTTTTATGAGGATCATTCTTCTCTTAAGTGAATCAGAAACGTCAGCTCTGATTTATTGAACCGGTGGGACATATCACAATCGGTTTTATTTATGGCAGAATGCGTAAATTATTATTTATTCATTCTTATCTCGTATCTTAATTAGAATAATGTCAAAGCCTCAATAGTTTATCATAATAAGTATACTTACCCCATCTTCGCAAATATTATGATTCTATTTCTGTTTACGTTTTCCGCCTGTGTTCCTAAATTGACGTTGGCCATTTCAAGTATTGGCAAACCCCTGCTGTATTAAACCTGCTCTCAAGAGGATCTTTCTTCGACCACTACTGTCTGTTGAGAATTTCATGCTTGAATGTCATCTTCGGGTCATGTTTCTCAATGTCAGTAAATACCTGCTTTCTTCTGCCATCTTCAACATTTACAAGAGCAATGTCCAGCCGGAAATCGAGTATTACTGCCGTATATGAGTATACAAAGCACAATTAAGAAGGAACAAAAAAGAACTATGCTCAAAAGGGGAAAGACAGATACAAAAAAAGAATGGGTAAGTAAATGTGGATTAGTAGAACAACTATACCAATAGGAAAGCTATGAATTTTTACAAAAGAGACTAACAACAAGGATCCCCTGATTTGCGAAGGGGGGAAGGTTCAACAGACTAATCCTTCTTTCGATTGCAATGCTATTTGCATTTATCCAAGTCCTCTCATTCAATTCCTATTTCAACAGTCTCTTTTAATTTTACTCTGTAAAGAATAACGGCCAAGTTGTAATCCTTTATTGGTATCGTCTGTTAAACACAAGAGACTACATTTTTCACACATAAAACAATTGTTTATTCACTTCTGGAATCAGTTAAATAAACGTCGGCCGGATCAAAGGTATGTGTTTCCGGGGCTTTCTTCAAAATTTCGATCTTCTTGCGCGTACGTTAAGCATCCGGTTTCTCCCCGGGCAGTATCTTCTTTCATGTTTTGATAGTTCTAAAGCATCTACGCGAACTTACGGGTGATGAATAATGTTTAAAACTTTCAAATGACAGTCGAAACATTGCATTCTTCTGGCGGTTCTATCGTCATTTCTATTGAAATTCTACCAATTCTGACCTTCACATCTAAGACTCGCCATACCACGCACATTTTAGCGAATCACCCTTATTCCATTCGTATTCTATCGATGCAAATTATTGGTACTATGAACTAAGTTTCACACGGGCAGCTTTTCCCCATGAACTGCTACATTGAGCAACCGACTCCAAAGAAGACGTTTTCCTGATCACTACTGTCTTAACCTGTTCAAGTCTAGGATTAACCGTTATATTCACCTGCTGTCCGCATAAATTGCCTCTTAATGAAACGTTCTACCTCGAGTGTCAGTTGGGCTTTGTACAGGGTGAAGCTTACTATTAAAAATATTGTTGGTATTTAAATAATGGCAGAAATATGGAAAAAGTTGTGTTGGGAAGTTAGACTATCTGTTTTATTGATATTTCATTACATCATGTAAAGAAAATTATAAGTCATCAACATTCTCTTTCTTTGGGCTATGGCTCTTCACAACTTCCTTTCTACTGTCACTCAAATTCTGGTTTCTTTAATACATCACTTTAACTGTCCTGGATAAGACGATAAGCTGATCAGGAGGTTTGAGAAGTGTGGAATCACCTCTTAATGTCTGTTTTTTCTGAGATCCACCCTGATCCGAGGTGGTAGCATATGTTAGGGTCCCTGCTATGGTTAAATAGTTAACTCTCAAACTGAAGTCAAAACACTATGAAAGTGTAAAAATAGGTTTTAATACTAGAAACACATTGCAAAAATATTTTACCAGCAATACATTTTTGAAAAAAAAAATTACCTGCTATATATTTTTTGAAAAAAAAAAATTCCTGCTATATATTTTTGGAAAAAAAAATGACCTGCTATATATTTTTGGGAAAAAAAATACCAGTACCTATACATTTAAAAAAAATTACCAGCAGAACATTATTGAAAAAATATTACAAGTAATAAAAATCTTGTCGGCATTAAATAACCCATTAAGGTTGATATGCCGTAAAATTAAAAACTCCCGTCGGTGAGGGCCTGCATCAAGTGCCTTGAGGAGGTAGTGCTGTTCTGGGTCAAGAGGGTGGCTGCTGAAAGAGCCTATGTCTGGCAACAGGACTCTGCACCATGCAACACAAGAAGGAGTACCCAGTCATGGCTGCCTGACAATTTCTGGGACCATATCACCCCTTAGGGCAACTAACTCCCTAGACTCCAACACCTTGATTATAATGCGTGGGGGTGCAGTTTTGCGAGAGACCACAAAAACTCCTTGTAACATCAAAGATGAACTGAAGGCAAGGATTATGGCAGCATTCACCAACTTAAACATGAAGACCTTCCAGAAGAGATGCAGGAAATTTCGAAGTTTTCTTGAGGACGTGGTTGAAGACAATGACGATTTTATTGAATAAATTATTTTATTAAATAAATTTACTCTTTATTATTTCAAGATGTTTTTGTGTCATTTTCGTAAATATATCTGGTAAAATAAGGTGGCAGTATTATTTTCGTTTTTTTGTGCATTATTTAAACGACAATTTATCCATCGCACCCTATCTGTATTCCCAGAATTTAAATTATCTCTTTCTGATAATCTGCAGTTTTTTCTTTTTTCTTGTAGTGCTTCTTTTTCTTAAAGCTTCCTCGTTTCTCGAATACTCTGTCCATGTTATTCAGATGATTCGTCAGAAGAACAATATCAGTGGTATTTACTCATTCCCCCCCACGAGAATGAGATGTGACACAAGGTCGGATTCATGTGGGGTCCCGAGCGCGTACACCCAGGCAGGGACAAAAATTCCCCTCAGCCCCCGCAACCGTCGGTACGGTGGAGTAATGGATAGCGGCTTGGATTGAGGAATCGGAGAGCTGAGTTCGAATTCCAGTCGAATCCATTATATTCACTTACGTGCTAATACCCTTGGAAAAGGTGTGAACCCTCTTCTTCTCCCTCCAGCTATGGGTAAATAGCAGGACAGACTGGGTTCTTGGATGGCAACTGGTCTAGGAGAAGGAAAAACTTTGAATTCAAAACCTGCGGAGGGTCGTTTGGGGACTTTGTGGCACGTAATGCACCAGGTCTCTGTAATCGGCCCTTTAAAAAGTGTAGATGGTCCTGCACGAAACCTTCACCACTATAATCAAATCTCATGTGCTATACATGCGGGTTGGGGACCGCTTGTGAATTCCAAATTCCCGTGAAACTTCAATATTGGAGCCGGCTCAACCCACCTCGGGTGAATGCCGTTACAGGTAGGTAGGTACAACAGAGATGTGGTTCTAGATGAGGTGTCCTGCTTTCTGATCTTAAGCACCAGTGTCCTTTTCTTTCCAATTAAAAAAAAAACTACATTGTCAATCACAACAGAGGTGTAGCCCTAGAGGAGGCATGTCACTTTCTTATCCTAAGCACCGAAGTCCTTTTCTTTCCTCATTTTCAAAAAATTTCATTGTTGCTCGCAATAGAGATGTGGCTCTAGTGGAAGCATGTCGCTTTCTGATTCTAGGCACCAGAGTCTTTTTCTTTCCAATTTAAAAAAAAAATCCTTGTTGATCGCACGTTCCGTCCATGCTATTCTCTGTAGCCTTCTGTGGACTTTTCTATTTGCTCGAGTCTCTTCCTCATCTTTGAGTAAATTGTCCAGTATTCACAGTCATACAGAAGGACTGATATGCCATGACATTTGATCACTTATCTTTCTGACGAAATTTTCCTTTTTCTTAATTACATTGTTTAGTTTTGGACGGCATAATTCGCTATTCTTAAGCACTTTCGGATTTCATGGACGCTTTTTCCATCGTCTGTTTAAAGAGTTCATTAGTTTGACACCCTAAATTCATAGTGTGCATATCCAGCTGCTCCCCTTAACAATGCTATGGATTGGATAGGTGCTATGAATTGGATGGGTGATATGGATTGGATGGGTGCTAAGGATTGGATGGATCTGAATCGGAAGGGCGCTATGGATTAGATGAGCGCTGTGGATTGTATAGGTGTTATGAATTGCATGGTCGATGTGATTCGGATAGGTGCTATGGATTGGAGGGCGGCTATGAATTGGATGGGTTCTATGGATTTTATAGACGCTATGAATTGGATGGGCGCTATGAATTGGAAGGGTACTATGAGTTGGATGGGTGCTATGGATTTTACAGGCGCCATGGATGGGATAGGTGCTATGAATTCGATGGGCGCTCTGAACTGGATGGGCGCTATGGGTTGGACAGGCTATGAATTCGATGGGCGGTATGAATTGGAAGGGCGATATGGAATGGATGGATTCTATAAATTGGATGGGCACGATGGATTGGATGGGTGCTAGGGATTGGATGGGCTATGAATTGGATGGGATTTATGGATTGAATGTGTGCTATGAATTGGATGGGTGCCGTGAATTGGAAAGGCGCTATGGATCAGATGGGTACTATGAATTGGATGGGGTGGATGCTGAATTGAATCGTCGCTAATTTGGCGCTCTGGATTGGATAGGCTATGGATCAGATGATGGTGAATAGGAAGGGCGCTGTGGAATTGATGAATTTTATGAATTGGATGGGCTCTATGGATGCTATGTAAAGTTGGATGAATCGTCGCTGGATTAGATGGGTGCTATGGATTGAATGGGTACTATGAATTGGATTTGTGCTATAGATTGGATCGGCGCTATGGACTTGATGGGTGCTCTGGATTGGATAGTCTATGAATTGGATGGACGATATGAATATGGAAGGGCGCTGATGGGGAATTGATGAATTTTGCGATGAATTGGATGGGCTGGATATGGATTGGTGCTGGATAAGTATTGGATGGGCTATGGATTGGATGGATGGACGCTATAAATGGATGGGCGCTATGGAATGGGGCGCTATGGATTGGGATGGGATGCTATGGATTGAATGGGCACTATGGATGAATTGGATTGTGCGATGAATAGATTGGATGGGCGCTATGGATTGATGGGTGCTCTGGATGGGGATAGTCGATATGTGCTATGGATGGGCGCTATGGAATGGATGATGGGTGCTTTGGATAATTGTATGGATGGGCTTATGGATTGGATGGGGTGCTGGATGGGAATTGGATGGGTGATATGAATTGGAGGGACGTTATGGATTGGATGGGTGCGATGAATTGGATAAGTGCTATGGATGGGTGCTATGGATTGGATGGGTGCGATGAATTGGATAAGTGCTATGGATGGGCACTATGGATGGGCACTATGGATTGGATGGGTGCGATGAATTGGATAAGTGCTATGGATGGGCGCTATGGATTGGATGGGTGCGATGAATTGGATAAGTGCTATGGATGGGCGCTATGGATTGGATGGGTGCGATGAATTGGATAAGTGCTATGGATGGGCACTATGGATGGGCACTATGGATTGGATGGGTGCGATGAATTGGATAAGTGCTATGGATGGGCGCTATGGATTGGATGGGTGCGATGAATTGGATAAGTGCTATGGATGGGATGGGTGCGATGAATTGGATAAGTGCTATGGATGGGCGCTATGGATTGGATGGGTGCGATGAATTGGATAAGTGCTATGGATGGGCGCTATGGATTGGATGGGTGCTATGAAGTGCATGGACATTATGAATTGGAAAGGCGCTATGGATTGGATGGCTGCCATGAAGTGAATGGGCGCTATAAATTGGATTGGTGCAATGATGGTCGTTATGGATTGGATGGGTGTTATGATTTGTCAAACTAAAAAATAAAAAAAAAAATTATTTTTTGAAGTGTTTTAACGGGAGGATTGATATTACATAACAGTTAACTACTCAACTCTATTTCTAAAGTTATTCTCCTGTTTCTTAAGACTTCGATTACATTTTCTAAAGCATCATTCGTTATTCCAATGCGTCATCGGATTTCGGTGTCGCACATAAATATCCGGGGAGGGTTTTAAGTGACGATACTAACTTTTTGATAAAATCTTTGATTTTGCTATCATCAATTTGTAATTGGCATGATGAGCTGTTTATTTTGCAGACAACCATGGATTCTGTTTTCTTGGACACCTCGACGTGATGTAATGGATAGGAAGCTTGTCTCGTTAGATCCATTACAACTGATAATGAGTTTGATCCTCACGGGGTGCCCCATACATTCTGTTTTGTGTCACATCTAAGATGGGCTTAGAAAACAACCTTAGGCAAGTCAACGTGGTGCAATGGTTAGGAAGCTTGTCTTGTTAAATAGATTATGACTGAATCGGGAGTTCGATCTTCACTGTGTGCTCCATACTTCTGCCCGTGTACCACACTTAAGTTGCGCTGAAAATATTATCATACTTTCTGTCTTAAGTAAACTACACGTATGATAATGATGAAAACAGACCTATTCAATTTCGCATTTTTTTATTTATAAAACATATCTGCAAATTTATGTTTAATAATACTGTGAATGTCTAGATATATGAGAGATTCGATGATCCAAAGAATTATTCTCGCAAGAGTTATCTTCTAGCAGACCCATTCTAGCCAGACAAATCAATAAACAGGAGCCAGATAAAACCTTAGTCCCCTGAAGTCGTAAACTTCAATTATATATATATATATATATATATATATATATATATATATATATAAAACAACTGGATCGGGGTGGATTTCTCCAGATGCAAAAATAGGCAAGCTTCAACAGACAGATATATTGGCTTGATATGTTCGAAGTTGTATGATGCGTCACAGTCAAATAGAACGGCTTTGATCAACTAATTCTACTTAGCTGAATACGGCAGTTGATGGTAGGAGTTTCAACCATTGTTACTGAGTCGAACTTACAATATAAATGTGCAAGCAATTAGAAAACAGTAAATCCATTAAGAAGAAGGAAAATGTGGCGTCATTGGCCATGGTTAAGTGTAATTGGCAAAAGGCTCAACAAACAGAATTAACAAAGTTCTCAATAAACAATAAGAAAAGAAAGAAAAAGCACCGGACAAAATAATGCTAAGCAAACACTATATATGCAAGTTAAAAATAGACAAAGCACTAATAAAGTTTCACAAAGTAAGAATGGTGTTCACAAGCAAAAAGAATGCAGTCAAGTGATTGTAGCGTTCTGAATTCAAGACAAAAAAAAACATATAGACCCAGAAATGGTCCATTTTTGAGAGGTGGGTAGGAAGAAATCCCAGCTTGCATCTGTAGGATTTGTCTATAAATTTTTAGCAGTCATTCACTCTTAGATTGTTTTGTAGGTGTTTATGATGACGGTCGTTTTTGAGTATAGAATCCAGAGGTTAGCAGTGAATGTTTCGAAGACAGTAGGGAAGCGTAGTTCAGGTTAGCAGTGGATATTTTGGTAAAAGTAGCAGAGCGTAGTTCGTCCTTCTGTTTCTCTTCGCCTGATAAGCTGGAACTGGACATTCGGGTAGAGTAGACAAAATGGCCGCCTTTATACACGACGGATTGAATATTCTACGTCTTCTGATTGGTTAACTTTCTATTGGTGGACTATAAAGTGAGTCAAGGCATTTGGGCTAACTCACTAGTATATATACACAAAAAACTGCAACAGTAGGTCCCCTGTGACCACGTGGTATATGTAGGGTTGGGATGTGATAGATAAGTTCTTGTAGTGATTGGTTATATTGTATTGGATGAATGGGTCATGATTGGGATTAACTAGGACGACGGTAGCCAGCGAAGACCAACCTTTCCACCACTTCCCCTACGACTTCGTGTCAAAATTTTGTAGGAAACTACAGAATAAATAATCATCCCTTCTTAGATCTGAAACTGACAATTACTTTCAAATCATCTCTTCATACTATCTACATGTGAACTTTTATTTTCGTCTTTGTTGCTGTGATAACAAAAACAAAAATTAAGATAACAGTTCGCATGTTGATAATTATAACACCGAACCCTAGAAACACAACCTATCTGTTTTAGTGACTGTAAGCTTACATTCGAATTAATAAAATTTCTTTTTCCATGGCCGACTGGTTAAAACGTTTGCTTACCAACTACGCGACCCGGGTTCAAATCTGACTACGGTCAAATAAGAAGGTGACTTCTTGGTGTTATTGGCCTGTAGAGTTGATCCCAGCAGCAGCATTTTTGAAAAGTGCCTGAAAATCATATCACGTGTTGACGCAAGCCTTGTGATTGAAATTAGGTAGATGGAACTGTTTGGAACCGTTGCTGTTTCTTTAAAAGTTAGAAGTAGGCAAAGCAACAGTAATAAGGCAAAAGGCTCACAAATTAAGAATGGTGTTCACAGGCAAAGTGGATTCAGATATTGTATTCAAAAGAAGAAACAGCAAAAAATATGGTGGCTGAAACTTAAAGTGGTTTATTTTTATTTCTTAGGAAGAATCGCCGCGTGGATCTGTTGGATTTGTCTATAAATTTCGGGAGGAGGATGTTTTTAGCAGTCATTCTTACAAGGATTGGTATCAGCAGAAAAATAGACAATACTGTTCCTGCTTGTTCGTGGTTCAAAAGAACAATGAAAGAAACAAGGATCGCTGATATATACAAGTACTATGGGTCTAGGGAGTCTAAATAAAATTTAGACCTATACTGACTTTACTTTAACTTCGAATGGAAACCAGGAGATATTTTCGTGCCACACACATACACACACACACACACACACACACACACACACACACATACATATATATATATATATATATATATGTATAATGATAATATTAGTGATCCGTATATGCTATTTCCAGAAGGCTGTTAGAAACAGAGCAACAATTATTGTTTTGAAAGGCATAAACACTAAAACTTCATGAGGTAATAATTTATTTCATTAGGCTTGTAAAAACGGCCCCAGTTCACCAAATCTTCAAATCCAATATATATATATATATATATATATATATATATATATATATATATATATATATATATATATATGCTCGGTACTTATTGGAAAGTGCTCAATATCAGTGATATACCTAACATTTCCATACAACTGATTATATATATATATATTTATTAGGTTGAAAAATAATGACGTAATAAT